TTCTAGAGATTTAGATTTTCACTTTGTAAGCCGCTCTCTCTCCAATTGGATCACCAATTATGGGGATATATTCAATTAAATGTTTAGGTTGACAAAAAAAAAGAAAAGAATTAGCTATTAAATTATTGGAATTGATTGTCAAAGTTATTAAAAAGAAAAAAATAGATATAAATTTTTATTTTTCTCTTAAATAAAAAAAATACATGTCAAAAGAGTAGGTGACACATGACAGTCTCTCATAACTTTGGTTTAAAAAACCTTACTATATTATATTAGATAACATTACCTTTTTTTTAACAACATATAACATTACCTTATAAAGAGAATTTGAGAAGAAAAAAAAAATAATCAATGGCAATCCATAACAATCTATAACAGTCTATTAATTTTTTTTATAAGAATCTATGAGATTTGTGTTAACTCCACTAAAATTTATAAAATCTCTTGATTTTTAAAATTTTTTAGAAATCTATACAAATTAGAGATTTTATACATTTTAGAAATTTATACAAATTTATTCTCCAATAACCCCCAAACAATCTTAATGAAATAAACTATTAATTCAAAAAATTTGGTTTTTAATAATTCTGCAATTCTAGATAAATTCATTGTTATTGGGAATAAGACTTTTTAATCTATCTCGACCTAGCTTAGCTTGAGAGAGCCCAAAAAGCCCAAAGTTAGAGCCCAAAAAGCTCAAAGTTTAATCTATCTCGACCTAGCTTAGCTTGAGAGAGCTCTCTGATCGATGTAGCGCTTACCGTAGCTTGAGAGAGCTATGGCTCTGATCGATGTGGCGATTTCTTGTCTCAATTCGATCCGTGAAGTAAGTTTCTGAAATTATCGTTTTTTCGTTTTGTCTGATTTCGTTTTCCGTTTTGATCTGTTGCATCTAAATGTTGGCTTTAAGAATCATTAGGATTATGCTCTTTTGTGATTACTCCTGGGAAATGCTAAAGTACCATTTGATGAGAGTAAATGGAAATAAAATCTCAAGTTTGTTTTTTTTTGCAGATTGAAGATGATGTTAAAGATGCCATAGTGTATATTGATGCTGGGTGCACAGAAAGTTTCCAATTTGCAGGAGCATTCCCTTTGTTCCTGGAACTAGGTGCTCGTGCTGTCTGCAGCCTTGAAAATATGACTTCCCTCGATGCGGTAAGCTCGTTACGGTGTGATTTTTGGTTTCACAATGCTGGTTAAGGAAGAGAGGAACACCATTTTAGTGTTGATAATTGAGGATCTAGACAGAGAATGTGAATAGCTTAGGCATCACTTGTAATGTGGGACAAGCCCTCTTTTTTTTGTAATTGTTCTGATCAATGGCATAGGATTTGACTATTGATGCCTTTTTGCTCTAGGTGGCTGGTTGGAATTCAAAGTTTGATTGTGCAAATAAAATTGTGATTATGACATCTCGGCTTCTCAATGATGCTCATCGATATATGCTACGGTGTCTAAGCACACATGAAGGCGTTCACCGCTGCACAGTATTCACCTCTATTTCAGAGGTGCTCATCATAAACTTTATCATCACAACTTATTGTATTTGACTTATCATCACTATTGATTGTTATAATCATATTCCAAGTACATTTGAGTCACTGAATATTTTCTTATCTAATTACTCTATTAATTTGGCTTTTTAACGAACAGGGATCTCACTCAGCCTGCCCTGATTCACCTCTAGGTGCTGATGCGTATCGAGAGTACGAAACCTTACTTGTTCAGGATTACAATGAACATACCAAGAAAAGCGACAAAACATCTAAAGTCAAAGGGGTTTCTAAGTTCTCTTCTGCACTTGAATCCCTTACTATGGAGCCTATTGAAAATGTAGATAATTCATCAGGTGATGCAGAAGGTCTGATGGTCTCGGTGCACCACTTTCCCTTGATTATTTGTCCTTTTACTCCTAGAGCGTTTGTCTTACCTTCCCAAGGATCAGTCGCCGAAGCGTCCTTATCCCGTCAACATGAGGATTCTCTTAGTTTTGGGCTGCCTCCCATAAGTACTGGATCTATGTCTGACACTGATGATGTTCCTCCTGGTGCAACTCTTACCTCTCATTTTCTTTACCAACTGGCTCTGAAGGTAAGTTAACAGTACAGAAATCCTTTTGCACTTATTCATGATGTAGATGAAGTTTGTGAGCTTACAACACTACAAAATATCTGTTTTGCTTGTTTATCAAAATTTTAATTTCTTCTGTTCCTTTTCTGAAACCATGTCATTGTTTCGAAAATGTCATTGTAGATGGAGTTGAAGTTGGAAATATTTTCACTTGGTGATCTATCAAAGAATGTTGGGAAGATTCTGACAGACATGTCAAGTCTTTATGATGTAGGGCGCCGTAAGCGATCTGCCGGCTTGTTACTTGTTGACCGTACACTTGATCTTATCACTCCCTGCTGTCACGGGGATTCACTTTTCGATCGTATCTTTTCATCTTTGCCTCGAGCAGAAAGATTCTCTTCACATGCACAATTTAAGCAAGGGCTTCCAAGCATCGATCGTCCTTCTCTTGATGTTCAAGTGCCTCTTGGGGAACTGTTAAATGAAGAACCAAGCAAGATTCGGGATTCTTGTCTTTCTGATGGAGTTGAAGCGTTTCTACGTGGATGGGATTCATGTACTTCTGATCCGCAAAGCGCAGGTTCACTTAATGAAGGTGACAAGAAATCTACCGCCAATTGGACTGAACTACTAAATGGTTCTCTTGTCGCCACGGAATGTTTTAGAGGAACGCCTTACTTAGAGGCCATGACTGATAGGATAACAAAAGATGGAAGTGTATTGGTTAGGAAATGGCTTCAAGAGGCTCTGCGTCGTGAAAATATTTCTGTTAATGTGAGATCCCGGACTGGCTATGCCACAAAAGCAGAGCTCCAGACCATGATCAAGGCATTGTCCCAAAGCCAGCCGTCTTTGTTGAGAAACAAAGGGATTATTCAGTTAGCGGCAGCTACAGCTGCTGCACTTGATGAATCTCAAAGTGCCAAATGGGATGCTTTTAGCAGTGCAGAGATGATGTTAAACGTAAGTGCTGGTGATACGAGTCAGGGTTTGGCTGCTCAAATTACTGACCTGATCAACAAAAGCGCTGTGGCTGAACTTCAAGCGAAGAAGAATAAGAAACCAGATTCTTCCTCATCACGAGGGCTTCTATCTTTCCGAGACACCCTGCTCCTTACAATTGTTGGATACATTCTAGCTGGCGAGAATTTTCCTACATCTGGTTCAGGTGGGCCTTTCTCTTGGCAAGAGGAGCATTTTCTAAAAGAGGCCATTGTGGATGCCGTTCTCGAGAACCCGTCAGCAGGAAATCTGAAGTTTCTTAATGGGTTGACTGAAGAGCTTGAGGGCAGACTAAATCGCCTCAAGTCCGAGGAAACAAAAGAAACGCCTTCTGATGATCAATTAGACATTGATGCTCTTGATGATGATCCATGGGGAAAATGGGGTGAGGACGAGGAAGAAGAAGATAATGACAATAGTAAAGCAGATGAGTCCTATGACGATATGCAGCTTAAACTGAACTTGCGTGATAGAGTAGACAGCTTATTTAGGTTTCTCCACAAGTTATCGAGCCTAAGAACAAGGAATCTACCATTAAGAGAAGGCTCATTGGCTTCAGAGAGCAGCTTTCCCAGCGATCCTTCTGGAAACAAAGGGCTACTCTACAGGCTTATCACAAAAGTGTTGAGCAAAGACGAGATACCCGGTTTAGAATACCATTCCTCAACCGTAGGAAGGCTTTTCAAAAGCGGATTTGGACGGTTTGGTCTTGGTCAGGTTAGTTAGCCCTTTCTCTCTCCCTATTACTTCCTTTTTCCTCATCTATTCTCCCACGAGATACACATTGATGTATTGCAACTCTATTGCAGGCAAAACCGAGCCTCGCAGACCAGAGTGTCATTATTGTCTTTGTCATTGGAGGAATCAATGGTCGAGAGGTTAGTTTCTTCACCACAAAAAATCACATTCATCGGTTTTGGGCCTATCTTTGTAATGATCGTCTATGTCTCTTTTTAATTATCGTCCATTGTCAAGGTTTTGGAAGCTCAAGAGGCTGTGTCGGAGAGCGGTAGACCAGACATTGGCTTGGTTATTGGAGGAACGACTCTTCTAACTCCCGACGACATGTTCGAGTTATTGTTGGGACAGTTCAGCCATTTTTGATCTCTTTCACAAAAACCTCCCTCTCACTGTCTCTGTTATATTTACTACAAAACCCATGAATATGACCAAATGTGTAATTTACAAAACTATAGTTCCATTTTCATAAGAAAACAAAAGTATGGGGGTATTAATAGTGAATAAACTGTTATATATCCTCAAAATATTTACATTTTTGGCCCCTCAGGTTTTATATATTGTTTAGAGAAGAAGCTTAATCCTCTTAAACCCCCCAAAAATCACACACACACACGAAAAACCTCGAAGTTGAGAACAATGGCTGCAATGAAGCTTCTTCTCTCTCAAGCTCGCCGTCAAGGTCTAACCAAACCCTATTCGTCTCCATTTCAACAAATCCCTAGGCTCTTCTCTTCTTCTTCATCATCCTCCGATTCGAATCCATCTCCGGATTCGGATCTACTAATTGAAATCCGCAAAAAACTCGAGCCAGTGTCGTACGCCGCAAAACCGAAACCTGAAGTCGCCGATGGTGGTGATTCTCCTCCGATTCATACCGAATCGGAGACGAATCCTCAGCCTACGAATCAGGAAGATCGTTCGACCTTGACTCGAGAAGAAATCCGATATATGGGATATACACCTTCGATCAGTCCGGTTTCTTATGCTAACCGTGTGCTTCCGTTACCGGAGGATCGTGTCGCTGGTGAGGGAGGAGGGGAGAGAACTCCGGAGGAGATGGAGATTGAGAGGAAGAGGATTGAAGCAGAGAATCGTGCTAGAAGAAGGTTTTTAAGAGCTAATCCTGTAGAAGAAGATACTTCTTCACTTCCTTTACCAACATTGCTTAAACCAGATTTGAAGCATGGAAAGAAACCTATTTTCGATCTCATGGAAGCCATTAGAGAGATAAAGGTCAGGATTTGAAGCTACACTATATTCAGGGTTCCATGATTTGGTTGTGTATGATGTTAAAGGATTCAACTTTTGTTTGTTTCTTAGCTAGGGGGATTCAAATGTGTATTATTAGAAAGGAAGTTAAAGTAATTGAGATTGGAGGATTTTTCGTTTTCGATATTGTGTTCCATTTTACAATATGAACATAGAAACCTCTTAAAGGAGGCTTAGAAGCTTTGTTAGATGCTGAGGTTATTGCTTCACACCCAATTCTGCGTTATTTTAGAGGGTACTAAACCCTGGCCTGTTTTGTACCTATGGCATTTCAAATGAGTGATAGATCAGACAAGTTTTGTTTAAGTGTGGTGGTGCTGTGAGAGTTGCTGTGTTGATTCCTATAAATTTGTAGTAGACGTTTATTTGTTGACTATCACGCGGACAGAGTAACTAGGAAGGCTTCAAGATTAAGTTGGACTCATCCATTTGTGCATCTCTCATTTTTTGTTCTTATGCTGTTTTCATCAATGGTTCAGGCCAATGCCAAGGCGAAATTTGATGAAACTCTTGAGGCGCATGTGAGGTTGGGTATTGAAAAAGGCCGATCTGAGCTGGTATTCTTTTTTCTACAAGTTTTTTTTTGTGTTTCACCGTTATATTCTTAATTACATTATCATTCTTGTCATTCCTTCTAAATCATATTCCCTTTTAACTGCAGATAGTTCGTGGTACTTTGGCTCTACCACACTCTGTTAAAAAGGTACAAGATATGCCTCTCTGATCTGTGTTGGTAATTGATATTTCTCAGCTGTTTATGTATTAAGAAGAAATGATTTTCCTTGTTCAGGATGTGAAAGTGGCTTTCTTTGCCGAGGGGGCTGATGCAGAGGATGCAAAAGCTGCAGGAGCTGATGTTGTTGGTGGTATTGAGCTTATAGAAGAGATCTTGAGTAATGAACCAATGCCTTTTACTTGACCCTCTTTCGATGATTCACTTCTGACATCTAATTGCACAAGCTTACCTTTGGCTCTGTCATGAATTATCTCATTTCTGGTCCCAGAGGTAAATTAATTATTCTCACTTACTCTCTATCTGCAGAAAGTGGCAAGATCGACTTTGACAGATGTCTTGCAACCCCAAAAATGATGCCTCGTGTTTACAAGGTTCTTGGATTGGAGCACTTATCCATATCTGTTTAGAACATAATGAGGTGATATCTTTTCGCTTAATATGCAAATGGTTTGTGTGCTTATTTGCAGATATCAAGGATTCTCAACAATCATGGTTTGATGCCAAACCCCAAAGTAAGCTGGATTATTCACTCAACATCTTACTCTAATGTATCAGTCAGTATACCCT